GAGAGAGAGAGAGAGAGAGAGAGAGTCTAAAGGAGTCTGAAAGAGTACTCGACGACTAGCCATAACCTTTGCCTTCGAAAAGCAATTTAATATAAATAATAATCATTTGCTTTATAATTGAATGAAAGGAAAAAAGTTTATTAAACTATTTGTTTGACAATCGATTAAAAAACAGAAATAGATATCAATATCTCATAAAATTTAAAATTGAAAAAAATCAATGCCTTTTATTCAAACCAACTGTTTGTCTGGAAAAATATATTTCTCATTAAAAAACATCTAAAAATAAAAATCCATAAATTGATTACAAATTCTTCGGGCAATAATCAAAAACACATAAAAAAATCCTAAAATTGTAATCATAATTAACTAAATAACTATCACTATAACAGGCGATCCAATGCTCGTGTTTCATACCGTTTTGGTCGGGTATAGTTCCGCCCAAATTTCACGGCATTGCTTATATGGACGGCGGGTTCAGCGACAATCTGCCGACATTTGACGAGCACACCGTCACTGTCTCGCCCTTCAGCGGCGAGTCCGACATCTGTCCACAGGACGACACCTATAATCCATTTCAAGTGAATTTGGTCAACACATCGATGTCACTCTCGGTGTCCAATCTGTACCGATTGACACGAATCCTATTCCCCGCACATCCCGAAGACCTGAGCAAAATGTGTCAGCAGGGCTTCGACGACGCCCTACGCTTTCTTCAGCGAAATAGTAATTGATATTTATTATTAACTCTCGTTATTATCAACACTTGTGATCATTAGAGAGAGAGAGAGAGAGAGAGAGAGAGAGGCATTGTATGGCATAAATCTAATGGTATTTTGTTTTATTCCGTTAATCACAAAGACAAGATCGCGTGCACCCGATGTCTGGCCATTCAGTCGTCGTTCACGTTGGCTGAGGACGACGAAGAAGACAACGACTATCAGAGCAACGATTCCGACTCCGGCTACGAGAACACGTGCGGCGCCGGCGATGGACAGCACCACTCGGCCATCAATTGTAACAATTGCACGGACTGTCAATACAGGCGACAGATCGCTGTCCTCGACTCACTGCCCGACGCTGTAGTTCAGGGTTTGTCCGCATTTTTATAATTTGTTGAATAATTATTTTGATAACTTATTTTATAATTGCATTTAAAACTAAATTAATGCTTATTTTGACAATAATTACAGCGATTCAAGAGGCGTGCGATCAGGTGAACAAAGGCGTGATAAACTGGCTCTTCCGGCACCGGCCGATGAAACTGTTGTCGTTCCTGACGATTCCGTATTTGTTGCCCATCGATATCACGATTGTCTTATTCTGCAAAGTGTGGCAATCGGTTCCGGCCATCAAACAGGAGCTGAAGAGTTCGCTCTACAATTTGCTCACGTTTTTGCGCTCAATTGTGGTCAAAATGGAGAGCAAACGGCACTTGTATTCGGCCAAATTCAGCTGCCAATTGGCGGTCACCGAATTCGACTACAGCCGCGAAGACTGTCCGCAAGTGTACGCGACGGGCGGGTCGTCGCCAGTGGGCGCTCGCAAAGTGTCCACAATTAAAGTGCCGAAACGCAAACTCACAAACCTGTCTTCGGGCGCCAACCCGTCCATCAACCCGACGCCTACCGCCCGAAAGCTGGTCGAAAAGGCGCACAGTTTCTCACCGGGAAGTTCGGCGGCGACCAGAAAGCGCAGCCAATACGCTATGGACGGCGCGACCGCCGCCTCCATCTCCGCCACCAGCGCTCAGGAGCTGCTGACGATGAAAGCCCGGCAACGGTTGGACCGTTTGCAGCAACAGTCGGGCGCCGGCGGTCATCAGCGCAAGTCATACGCCGGTGTCTACGACCGCCGGTGGCCGTCAGTGTCCAGTTCCGCGACGGCGGCCGACGACGAGTGGCCGATCGATAGGCGCCGGTCGATGATCGAGATGATGGCGCCCAAAGTGAAGCCACCCGAACGGGTCATTTCCAAAATGAACTTCGGCTTCAGTTTCGATCTGAAAAATAAGTCCGCGGAAGAGCTGGACATTAATCAACGCACAGCGGGTGCCGCGGGTCTGGCGGCCAGCGCTCCCGATTTGGATCAGTTATCGGCCGGCAGTCCCGTCGCCAGCGATAACAAAATGCTGGACGCGTTGAAACGACTCGAAGACATGGATCAGTCCCACGCCATAGAGATGGCCAACAAAGCGCTGGATTGGGAGCGCGAGTGTCTCCAGAAGTACCGCGAGTTCGGCGATATGGCGGGCGAAGTCGGCAGCGGTTCCGATGGCAACGATATCAACAAAATGATTGAAGTGACGCAAACACAAGAGGCGCTGATGGCCTTCTACTACACCGACGAGAATAATAGGGTAAAAGTGACCGAAATATTCAACATTAGTTCCGATGACGGCGAGAGCGGCGACGGTATGGCCACCACTATAGCCGCCGACGCCAGACGCCTGTCGGGCGATCGCCAATCCATTAGCGACGACGAGGACGGCCTGTCTGTACGGCACTCGTCTTCGCGCTCGTCGTTGTCGACAGTGTCCGCAAACAGCGCCGTATCGGCCGCTCAGAGGCGGCGCAAGAAATCGGTTATTCTGATCGACTGATGGCCTGGACTTTAATGACCGACGATTTCACCCGAAGAAAGACCACTACTTTTTTTATACTACCATTTGTTGTCCGCTTTTTAACCACTTCTTAACCATATCTTAACCATATCTTAAGACTTATTATTATAATTATATGTATATTATATTAAATATAACTAATTCTGATTTAATACTGTTTGAAACAAATATTGCATTATTTTCTGATATAAATAATAATATTTATAAATATTTCTATGTTTTGACTGTTTTTTCTTGCAATAAATGTTTTTGTAATTATTTTTCAAAATAATTATTGCATTTATAATATAAATAGTCATTTGATAATTGATTAATGTTGTTGTTGTTTATCATGTATTATTATTTATATTATAATTATGATGAAAAATTATTAATAATATTATTTATAAATTATATAATTAATAGGAAATTAAATTGATTATTGAAAACAAACTAACAAGTGCATTTCATTTGAAAAATAAAATAATGATAAAATCAACGACAAAAGCAATTATAGATTTGAAATTAAATTTTCATTATCTTAACGATAATAGCGTTATATTCCGACAGAGAGAGAGAGAGAGAGAGAGAGAGAGAGAGAGAGAGAGAGAGAGAGATTTGTAAATATTTGATGAATGAGATATTGATTATTGAAAACTTATTGATTAATTTAGTCGCTATTATCATCTATTTATTTCTGGAAATAATTAACATGTGATGATTATTTTGAGTTTAATTACCGCCCATATATATAATTCATTCAGTGTGTGTATAGTGTACTGCACTTCACTATATCGGGCATTGAATGGCCAGTCATACCGATAAGGACTCATANGAGAGAGAGAGAGAGAGAGAGAGAGAGAGAGATTTGTAAATATTTGATGAATGAGATATTGATTATTGAAAACTTATTGATTAATTTAGTCGCTATTATCATCTATTTATTTCTGGAAATAATTAACATGTGATGATTATTTTGAGTTTAATTACCGCCCATATATATAATTCATTCAGTGTGTGTATAGTGTACTGCACTTCACTATATCGGGCATTGAATGGCCAGTCATACCGATAAGGACTCATACAAAAACTAATCACTTGTTAAGGCGTTTGCGTTTTACGTGCGATAATTCCTGAAAATTTTTTCAATACATTTTTGTTTTGCTATAAGTTTTAAGATTAATACAAGTATTTCTTGTGTGATAAGAGTTGGCAATAATATTAGCAACAAAATCATTAAATTAATTGCATTTTTATTGCATTATTAATAGCTATTTTGTACACTTTATAACATTCTCTCTCTCTCTCTCTCTCTC